TTATAATTATAATAACTAAAATTAAAATTAATTACGTATCAATTCTTAATAATTTAATACAATCATAATTAAATTTTAAGCATATATCGGTCTTATACCATTAGAATAATAATCTCGTATATTTGATCATACTTTATTTCACTTTAAACATATTATGAATCAAACTCGAGTATAATTTGCATATTTATTGTTTGTAGTTACATTAAGATATATAATTTTTCACTCATACAAGATATATATATATATATATATATTTTGATGTAACTACAACAATAAGTTATATATCTTGAACTCTCATCATATTCAAAAAAGAAATTGTGACCAAGAGATCTCAAAGACTCAAACATGAAAAGTTAAAATTATGATTAGATTAAATGATCAATTATCCAAAAAATTAAGGCAGATAATACACCATATAACTTATTATTCATATTCTAACAGTGGAGTGCAACACTCGATAAAGGGGCGGAAAAGATGCTTATTAACAAATAAAACCGAATAAAATAATTCTTCCGTTATGAAACCATAGGGTCGAGATCTTCCCAACAACTTACAACCTCAGTACATATTTGCAAAACAAGTGCATCTGATCTTATTTTTCACAAAGTTACATCCTAAACGTCCTCGGTATCACTCATCACGTTAGGGCGAGTGTCAATATAAACTTCTGTTGAAAAATCAATTTCGTCGACGATCCTCCCTCTGATTTATGAACATGTTGTGCAGGAAAATCAGTCAAAAAAAAAAAAAAACTTGATTGCTAGACGTCTAAAGGATTCAAAGACGCTAGATCCGAAGTTAACGATGGAGTTCACATACCTCTCGAGAACAAATTTCCCTTCCTTGTACTTTTGGCTTTTCTCATGAGCTGCCTCCTGCAAGAGAATAATGAAATGTTGTTACCAGAGCAAGAGTTGGAGTGGCATGATCGAAGTAAAACCATCAGATCCGATTTAATTCTTCGACATTTCCACCCACGAGAGAGAGAGAGAGAGAGAGAGAGAGTGTGTTTACATATTTCCAGCCAACAATTTGTCCACAACAGCAACAAAATATATCTGCCACGGTATGCATTCCAGAAAGCATCATCCTTTCTTCTAAAGCACCAATACTGATGTTTACCCTGAAACACCAACTCCAACTGATCTTCAAGTAATCTCAATATCCCACCATTCAATCATAACAAATACTATCTAATAAACAATCTTCTTCAGGTAAATACGAACAAAATTTGGGAATGACTTCTTGCATAATTAATGAGCAACATGCTTTGATAATAAAATTAACACATTCACATAATTATCCACAATCAATTTACATGGCCTCCATCATCTCTTATAAATTTGCTGGATTACTATTAATTAATCAATTATTTTTGTGCTTTTCCAAACACTTATACTATCATAACCTCTTATATGGGAAAATACATATATTCCCATTTCTTCCGGTGTCTGATGCTGCATTACAAAGTGAACCCGAGAAAGTATGAAAACAAAAGTTAAAGTACACAGCTTTGTGATCGCTGTAAGCTCGCCAGATACAAAGATCACGTAATCCCATCCTGACCGTACCATTTGAGCAGATGATATAGGGATAAAACGTTTCACATGAACATCTTTACTTAGAATCATCTTACTGA